CGTTGTAATACCTCGATAAATAAACTAAATAATTCCGCCTCACGGTTTGGCATGCGCTTCACACCTGCAAAGTTTAAAGTGCTACTGGAAGACTGGGTGGGCTCGAACCCTAGCCTCATGCCTGCGGATGAGCCGAATGAGGTAGCTATTTCCATCTTCTACCTGCACAGTTATGTCAGTCCCGGTGGTCTCGCGAAAGATGCTATTTCCATCCGGGCCAAATCAGCTTTCGAGAGCTTGTATCACATGTCGTGACATCAGCTTTCTGTCAAGGGTCGAGTTTACAATGCTGTGGTGCCCTTCATATTCTCCTACGGATTAGAAACCTGACCGGTGAGCACCGAGGACGTCAAAAGACTCGGCGTTCGACCAGCGGTATCTTCGGAGCATTGCCCGAGTCTGGGAACACCGGATCAGTAATACTGAAGTAGGTTGAATGGTTTTCGGAAGAAATAACTCGTCCACGGTGGATAAGCTAATCACACTGCGTACGTTGCGCTGGCTTGGTTGCGTGCTCCGTATGGCAGTTGAATGACTTATTCGAAGAGCCCTTTTTACACAACCACGCGAATGGTGGAAACGAGCCAGGGAAGGTTAGACACTGGCTTGGCAGCGAAGTATGAAAACCATTACCAGCAAACTCAGCTGCGCTGGTCATTGCCATCTTTCTGGATGGGACACATCAATGGTTAGGGGCACTGACGGACATGGCCCCCATGTATACAAGCTGTCGCTTTCAATGTGCAACTCTTCTCCCGGTCTCTCCAATGATAATACACACCCTCCTCTATTGATGTGTGAATTATATCTGCTACCGCCTCCAATGTGGTGACTATAACCACTGTACGCGAAGTACGCGTGCTTTTTTAGTTGATGTTGATGATGACCTCATGTCTGCACGCCAAACCCTGGGAGGTGATCAACATTGACTTTCGTCCAAGTGGTGTGCTTTCAATGTTATTATCTGTCGTTTGTTTCTGGTGTCGCATTGAAGAAACATCTCGAAACTCATGTTTCCTTCTGGGGTACTTGCGGTCACGATATGAAGTGTAATTAGAGGACATCTATTCAAACACCCTCAGTTGGTCCTAGTAAAGGGGTGTTTTCGAATAACCACTTGATCCTTTGTTCCTGTGTCCGCGTGTCCTTCTATGGGGCGGATTGGTAGGTAAACACAACTGGGTTGGTTATCTCAATCGCGTCACCGCAACAGGGTTGAGAGATCAACTTTCGATTCCTATGCTGGTTCAACGCAAGTGTACTCAGGCTGAGAATGCGTGTGTGTGTCCATATGCGCTCTCAAGCTCAGTGGATTTTTCTTGTGTGTGTGTGATAGTCATCGATCAATTGAAATCGGGTTGACTGATTGCCACAATGAGCGAATTCGGCCACAGTATGGCCGATTCCACACAATAGGACTGACTGGGCTGAACTGGTCGGATGTGATTTCTTAACTGCATTTCCGTACGCTTTATACAGCTAAACAAATGCTACATCAGATAGTTTGTAACTCAAAGCCAAGCGCTATTAGGTACGATGTTGCTCGATGGTATGTTATTATAGGCCCAGCTTTTTAGTGACTGTAGATAACCTTTGTTTTTTATAAACACCACAGAAGTGAAATAATTCGGATATTTTATCGTGTCTGGTTTGAATATGGTCTTGGTTCTATTGCCTGACCTGAATGAGCGAGACTTGGTGATTTCACCAACGTGTGTACGCACGTATCTGCGCATTTGTTGCTCTGGGTGTTGAATTAGGATATCGGTATTGGTTGGCTTTATAGAGGCGACTCCTGTATTGCTTGTGGTTATTGTGTCTAGCTGTGATTGAGTTATCATCCACAGTCCAGCTTATGGATTGTAGTGTGACAGATGAGGTGACTGCACGAATCTGCAAGGCTCGGGCCGCGTTTGCTAACTTGAGACACCTATGGCGTCAGAATGGTTTATCCCTGAATCTGAAGGGACGTGTGTATCAAGCTACAGTACGGGCTGTTTTGTTGTATGGCTGTGAGACTTGGCCTATTCGAGCAGCGGACCTGAGAGGGCTTCAGGTGTTCGACAATCGTTGTCTCAGAACCATAGCTCGTGTGGGTTGGTGTCGGCGAATCCGTAACGAGGCAGTTAGAAAGCGTGTTTTCGGTTGTGTAACGGGTACTTCCATTGAAGAATGTGTCCAGCACCAGAAGCTGCGTTGGTTGGGACATGTGTTACGTATGCCGAACCATCGTTTGCCGAAGAGAGTGCTGTTTTCCATGTCCAATTCAGAGTGGCGTAAACAGAGAGTTGGCCAACCCTTGACTTGGCGGGGGAGTATGAAGGAGATCACGAAACGCTTGGGTGCTGTCGGTGCTACTCGCCTTTCAGGATGGGGACCGCGTGATCCTCACTGTGCCTGGTTGAAGACACTACAAGATATGGCTGCCAACCGATGTCAGTGGCGTTCTTGTTGTCAGTTTCTATCCAGATTGCCTGAGTGAATGTGTGGAGGTGGAGGCACCTCGGAATGATTGTATTAAGCTAGCACCTTCACTCTTTTCTTTACAATAAGGCGTTCAAATAAATCATGGTTGTATGGCAGTGAAGCATCAGTTTTGAACACTGATGTCATGATGTCGATGATGATGATGATGTCATGGAACGAAAACCCCTCCATCGAACATGCTGAAGACGTTTTCTATCCAGTTTCTCATTGTGCTAAACATGCTGCTTTTGAATTTCCGTAGGATCGCTGTTATCCCGAGTACCTGCTCTGTACACTAAGCCATGAGTAAAACCGTGAGAATTTGCAATGATGGAATTACTGCTCGACATGCGCTTACCGTTCGTTGCAATCTGTTGGGGCATTGTGCATCGGAGTATTCAAGCATTATTCACCGAGCTTCAGTTTTGTGTTTTATTTGTCAAACTGTGTGAAAAAGAAGGACTTGGTCGTTTGGCCCCAGGGTCGTTTTTTTGATTGACTAACTGCACAGTTCGGCACTAGAGCGCCATGCAACGATTATTATTTCGAGAAAACGCATCCAAATAGTCCATCTAGTTGCTTGTAAAAGCAAGGTGCACTTTTTAATATTACAGAGCTACTGACTACGTTGCATTAACACGCATTTAAATGTGATATTTCACTAAGTGGAAGACAACCACTTGCCGACATCTTCCAATATCGCGGTTCATCCCATCAAAGCTCTTCATGCATGATGGAACTTCCTACTGTATCTCAAAAACAATAAATTCCAAATTCATAAAGTTGCATATGTGACTTCCCACGAATGCATCTGGGCTGTTTTGGTTATGATTAAAAGCAGCACTGAAATCATTGGTAATTTTCTTGCATACTTAGTAAGTGTGTTCGGAATTGTGTCAGTTTTCCTGTGAAAGTCCTGTGAAGTCCCAATTCACACGTTATGGTTCAGTTGGTAAAGAACGTTACCGATAAATGTGTCGTACGTCTTTGTGTCATGCGTAAAATTACCTGACTATGACTACTCTTTGTGTTCACGTTTGACAGTTTCCTGTTACTAAAAGATGCATCACATATCTCAAGCATACTGAGATTCACACTGACGAAGATCATCGCAATTATCCGAAATTCCCAGCTGATACACACTGTTCCTGACGTCTAGTCGTGTTCTACAGTGTTCCAAACATGTGTGCTCAACTGCAGTTTGCGTTTGCTTTTTTCCTTTGATACAACTGTGACCTGACGCTGTTTTATTATCCACTTTTGAGGCCTTACAGCACATATTCTCACTTCCAAGGCTTTCTTCTTCCGGTATGCAGCAGGAATGGCGTATATGAACACGACGCGTCGACCACAAGTGTAGCATATGACCACGTATAACAACATAATAATAATAATAATAATAATAATAATCGCCAAGCTGTATAACCCTTCCAGTACAAATATGCCGTGTCATCCGAAGGAAACACGAACGCTGTGATACAGCCAGGTTGACCAAACCTACACAGGACTGACAGCTGAATCCCTTGTTTATGATATTATTAAGCTGAGTTCCAGGCGAGCCTTCCGTCAAAACCAAATTGGTAAGCAGATGAGTGTTTAGGTCGAATTTTGTGCCATTTGGGAGGTTCAAGCAGAACGTAGGGTTGATGGAAACTTGGGGACTGCGATTACCTGATAAACCTCGAGAAGGGCGAAACCGGTCGTGGGCTGTCAGACTTTTCAGTAGTGGAGGTTCAAGACGTAGGGTTGATGGAAACTTGGGGACTGCGATTACCTGATAAACCTCGAGAAGGGCGAAACCGGTCGTGGGCTGTCAGACTTTTCAGTAGTGCCTTTTGAGCAGTGCATTACATCTATACATGTGTCGCGATATCTCGAATATCGTACCAACTGAAACATGAGATCGCCTGGTGCAGCACGTCCAGTTACTTGAAAACACCGTGGACGAAAGATTCAGCTTGGTACCAGGTAAGTCTCTTATCAAGACTAAAGTGGAATGCAGATGAGTGTACTAGTCAAACAGTGTATTCAATATCGGCAACGCTTTTGATACAAATGTGCACGTTGACGTCTGATCCGCACTTGTAGTTGCGGGCTTTTTGGCACCACATCTTCGATCCGCGTTTTGCCTGCTTCGTCATGCTTTGAAACCATGAAATTGATGTGTCTTAGTAGGCCTGTTCCTTGGCTCTTCCTCTTGTTCCAGGTAAAAAGTTGTCAACTTGAGAACATTATTGTAAGAGTTCTTTTGCCAGTGTATCTACCAGATCGTTGCAGTGGGCCTTCTTTGTGGGGGGGGGGATTTGATATTTTCTGGAATTCCACGTTACTCTGCTCATTACGGTGAGAATAGCGGTGCTCCTCCTGAGTTCAAATAAAGAGATTACCCATAGGACACATAAAGTAACCACTTTTACCCATCGGCGTTTCTATGATTGCCTCGCGTTTTGCGTGCATGGAATAACACCTAAATTCGGTTTTGCATCAAAACTTTTTTTTCGTATTCTGATCTGTTCACGATATTCCTTTTAGATATCTCAACTGTCCAAAAAACCAAGTGAAACGTGTACCTCCAATATTCCGGTACATACTTACGGTTGATGATGGAATTCAACTCCTCAGGCAATACGTACCCGAATGGTTATTTTATTGCCTCTCAAGACGGTCAACACTTCAGTCATGTTCCATCGGATTCTATCAAAGATCTTTTAACTCGTCAGTTCATAGTGTATTACATCGACTATGGAACGCCGCTGAATTCGATAACAGCAGAAGGGTCTGGAACCAACCATCAGCTTTCTGGTATACTCCCTGAAGCGCCCTCCAGTGTAGTACTTTTGGACAATCACCCTGCGCAGAATGTAAGGGGTACTTCAAGCGAGATAATCTCAACCTCCCAGTTGGTTGTTCACCAGCCCGTTGACTTGGATGGCGTTCTGCTTCCTGCCTACGATGCGTTGCAGTCTGATGGGGCCGTTACCTCGCTTCCTGACGCCCCCAAACCTTTTTCGCGTTCCTCTGCCCGGAGGAAGCCTGTCCAGCGGGCCTGTCCGATATGTAATGAAGTATTCAGTACTAAGAAGACCTACACACTTCACTTGAGTAAACACGAAGAGGGAAAACCTTATAGATGCCCTCATTGCCCACAAAGCTTTAACTATTCAACCAACCTTACCATCCATGTTGCCCTTGAAAAGGCATCTGACCCACCTTACAAATGCCCTATTTGTCAACAGCTGTGTTCCCGCCTCTCGGCATTTAAGTCACATTTGCTGCTTCATCAGGTGGATGATCAACTGCAATGTCCAATCTGTCAAAGTTCATTTACAACGCAATGCTTGTTAGATGCCCACACGAAAACAGAACACCAGAATCCAGCGAATCAACCAGATCCAGTCTACCGTTGTAGAGTTTGCCAAGCAGCTTTGCCTACCAACGGACAGTTGCGTAAGCACTACTTACTACACCATGCATCTCACCGTACAGCCACACGCCATGTGTCCCCTGTACGAAGCCGTATTCCTTCCGCCACTGCGGAGTCTAATCCACAACTAGAGACGTCCCAGCAACAAAATTCCTTTCGTCGTAGCAAGACGGAAGCTCTGTCGTTTCTTACCCGTGTATTGGCTCCAAAAAAGTCTCTTCATGATGTGCTAACAGGCGATAGCCTAATTCAACGAGTTGAGCTGGATTCTTCAACTCTGCCTGTGTCACCGATACCGCTCCGTAATCCACGACGAAGGAAATTTAAGAGAGGCGGTTCATTAAAAGGTCCATTGTACAAGTGTCCAGTATGTGGGCAGAAGTTCACTCATCTCACCAGGGCAAAAATGCATACATTGCATCATGTAAACAAGAAGCCTTTCGAATGTCTAATCTGCCACCTCCGGTTCGCTGAAAAGTCATCTGCAAGAGCTCATGTTATCCGTCACAATCGTCCACTCTCCCGATCAGTTTGTCCAATATGTCAGCGAACTTTCATCCGACAAAGTGCCTTGCTCAAACATCTGAAAAATCATCATCAGGAGTACTCTTTCGAGGTTCTTGGTCCCGACCGATGGACTACTGAATGGGTTTTACAGGAAAGCCATCCACAATCCAACACAATTATACCGCCTCTAACGTCAGCATCTGTTACTGGACTCCACAACCAGGAACCCAGCCCTGCTTATGCTCAGTTTTCCGTCAGCACAGCACTGATTCCCTCTCAGCTGCCTGTAGGTGAAGCCGTGGAAATTGTTGAACTCAACAGCGTTCCAGGTCAACAGAACATTTCTCGTCAAGTCATCAATTCACCTTCCAAGCCGTTCCAGTGTGATGTTTGTAAAAAATCGTTTTCTCGTTCCCGAACTTTATCTGTCCATATGCTGCGTCATCCTTCAATCTCTCTTCCCTATTCATGTTTCCAATGTCCGCTGAGGTTTTCCACATCGGCAGAACTGAAATATCACCTACGTGACCATATATTACGCACCAGTTCACGATTCAATATAATCCGACAGGAACAATCGCGTTCGAGCGATGGTCCGTTGAAATGGGATCGCGCCTCTCATCGTTTTGTCAACATCAGACGCAACAAACGCAGACCTTTCAAATGCCTCGATTGTCCTAATTCATACCGGTCGAAAACGCATTTGGAATACCATATCAGGCAACGACATCGTCTCGAACTGGCCCCTTATGTATGTCACACGTGTCATAAACGTTTTGTCACTGAGAGCAGACTACGCCAACACGCCAACTCAGTACACAATAATACAGTGAAGCCGAATTACGTCTGCCTTCTATGTGCCGCGTCTTTTTCATGTAGGAGTTCACTGAAGCGCCATATGGTGATCCATTCGGGTGAGAGACCGTACAAGTGCACGGTTTGTCACAAGTTGTTTAAGTTCTATGCATCATGTCAGCGACATATGAAACTACATCTAGATAACACGCAGGGTTCCGATGCTTGTTCCTTTCGGTACTCCCCGGCGAATCAATATGACCCGTGTGCGATTTCTAACATGACGGACGACGTGGGTACAACTATTCACCATCAGCAAACACAGCATATTGTCGATTTAGACCAAGAGTTTGTACAGAACGTATCGTCTCAGTTGTGCTCAATCGTTCCTGCGCAAATATGTCTCGTGCCGGTGAGTAGTCCATTTAATACCAACCAAAACTGCACTTCTAACGACTGCATTATCCAATCGGTCAATATGGATAGTTGTGCTCCTTCTGGATTATCTTTGACTGTAGATTATGCTAAAAAGTTCGGTCAGAATTCAGCCCAGTTTTGTTGTGAGGACCTTGGACACGATTCTCCTCGGGGAGTGCTTTACTCTGAACAACCGGTGGCAACTTGTTTTCATTCTGACGGAAACGATCCGGATTCTGTTGATATCTCGTTACATCATATCATGCCGCAGTACTGTACCAGCCATCCAAATCCCGTATTGGCAACTACTCTAAAGCACTTGGTGCCCCCAGCCCACTGCTTGCCTTCCGCGGATGGATATCAGAAAATTGACACTGCTAACAGCACTGCGGCTCCCAATTATTCTGATTTCGTTCCCCCGATGTTGTCTCAGGTGGCTGCCATTACGGATGAAGCAAAACAGATGAATTCGGTCGACGTTACCGTTCTCGAATCACCTGAACAGGCACAACTCCAACCACCAACGTCAGCCGCCACAAAACTTGACACAAACAATGAATCCTGTCAAAATCCTGATTCCGGTACTGCTGGATGTCACTCATCGGTTGAAGTTATGTTGTTTGGCTGCGGTTTGTGTTCACAATCTTTTGACACAGCCGCTCAACTACGGCTGCACGTGGATACCTCGCATGCCATACAACCTAAACCGTTCGCGTGTGATAGCTGTCAGTTGTCTTTTGTCAGTGAAACTCTTCTCTTGGCTCATAAAACCATCCATTTTGAACCACAAGGTGAATTGCAAACTCACCGTTGTCCCAGCTGTCCATTGGCATCCTTTAACAACAAATCTGCTTTGACGCGACATATACTTGCCTGTCATCCTTTGCCAACTCCTGATAGATTCAGATGTACATCCTGTGATGCTCGATTCAGGCTACTTAGATCTCTCGTGGCTCACATCGCTAAATTCAAAAACGGACTTAGTGGTGGATGTTCGAAAATCCCCAAAATGGCAAACAGGATCCGTGCGAAACACCAGAAAGCAGGAGAGAACATGGATCCGGAGTTGTTGAAAGTACGCTATGGGCTTCCCGAGGGGCCAGCGCCGGATCTTGGTTCATCCGAAAAAATTTCGACAACGGTAAGTAGATTTTTTGGTGGATTACAATTTGTTGGATGTCAGCTACGCTGGTAAGGCCATGCACTTCATATTGCAAGATACCGTTCGGTGCGTATAACGATCTTCACCCAGTCATGTGTCAGGTGTAGTCGACCCTGGGCTGTTGTATTCAGTTCAGTCCATTTAATCAAGTGTAAACCGTATATCAATTGCAAGTTACTTCCAGCTGTTACAGTTCCGATTACCGGAAAATGGTAGAATGTGGAAGTTACAACCAAGTTCTTATTGAATCAGCCCTGTTGTTTGAGGGAACGCAAAACGTGACAGCTACGCATTAGAAGCGACAGCTTTGATGCAGGGAAGTCACTGACTACGTGATTGACCCATATCTGCCAGTGTCGTTGGCCATTGATGAGTTGAGTTTCAGCGTCCCCATCCAGAGAGACCATAGTTGTCAACCCGATCAGATTTATTGTTTAGTATTCACATACTTCTTTACCAGATCATAGACTGTTCGCCTCTCGGTCCTTTCGGATACAGAGTACATATTATAAACAACATAACCTGTGAAGTGCTAGTAGCTCATCCATCATAGGAGAGTTCCTTGTTCCTAAGGCTCACTGGCCTACCTCGGGAATGTTAATCCAACTTTCCAAACACCCGACGCAAATCGCGAGGTGGACGGCGCACGACTTGGCAGAAGGGCATGGAAGTGATCACTAAGAGTGTGGGTGTTGTTGGTGCTGTACGGCTTCCAGGATGGATCTTCAACCTTTTGTTCTTCTTCAAACCGAATCGCACCAAATTAGTGAATATACACTCATCTCCAATGTAATTTGATTATTTCGAGAGACTCACATGGAACCCAGCTGAATCTCTCGATTTTACTGATGTACTCAGGCAACTGAATATGCTGCATTCACCAGGCCGGCTAATTGGTCAGTCCCTACGATCTTTGAAATATCGCGATACGTGTATATATACGTATTGTATCGTAATAAACATAAGGTTAGTGAAAATCCATCGAAAGCCCGCCACCGGTTTCGCCCTACTCGGGGCTCATCTATAGGCGCATTCCCCGGGATTCCGTCAACCATATGTTCTACTTCAAACCGGATTGCTCCAAATTAGCGAATATGCACTCATTTGCCATCTAATTTGGATTCCTTCAGAGATTCAAGCGGAACCCCGCTGAATCTCTATTTCATGATATTCTTCTCAGGCAACTGAACGTGCTGCATACAGCAGGCTGCCTCATTTCACATTCGCTACCACATACTGAATACTCGATACATGTATATATATATTATAATTTACTACACATAATATTGGTGATAATCCATCGACAAACCACGACTGCTTTCGGCCTTCTCGTGGCTCATCTGGTAGGCGCAGTCCCCGGGTTTCCGTCAACCTTATGCTCTAATTCAAACCGAATTGCACCGAATAGCGGATACACGCTCAACTGATATATTCATTGTTTCTTTCGAGAGATTCACCTGAAACCCAGCTGCGTCTATCGTGTTTCCACGATGTTCCCAAGCAACTGAATGTGCTGCATTCATCAGTCCGACTCATGTTTCAGTCGCTACGATATTTGAAATATCGCGATACATGTATATGTTTGTATTGTAATGTACTATTCCTAATGTAGGTGAAAATCCGTCGACAACCCACGACCGGTTTCGCCCTGCTCGGGGCTCATCAGGTAGTCGCAGTCCCCGGGTTTCCCTCAAACTTATGTTCTACTTAAAACCGAATTGCACCAAATTAGCGAACATTCCCCGTGACTCCACCTGTGCCTGGCTGGAGACGTTGCAAGAAATGGCGGCTCATCGATGTCAGTGGTCTTTGTGCTGTCATTTTCTTTCCAGATTGTTCGATTGAGCACTTTGAAGTGTAGGCACCTCAGAATGCTTGACATGCTCATGGTCCAGTTAATACGATATTTCAAATTCGCGATAAAGGTATTTATATGCATTGTGATGTTCGAAACTTAAATTTGGTGAATATTCTTCGACAGCCGAGGACCGGTTTTGCCCATCTCGGGGCTCATCAACCCCCTCCCTTACCCGTTTCTTATGGCTTATTTTCATTCCAAGACATTAAATATAATTAGATGTAACTTTTTTGGATGTGTGGCAGTAAAGCATCAATGACAACACTGGCGTTACTGTGTTGTCTCTGATGGTGATGATGTTGATGTTGATGGCAGTCCAGCTACAGTGCGTTTTAGCCTGCTTACAGTGGACACGCTTCCTTTTTTCTACCGTTCTTTTTTCTTCTTTTTAATAGACTGTTAGTCAGTCGGATTATGGGGCCGAACCTTCGATATCCAATAAAGATGTAAGCGAATATGCACTCATCTATAATCCAGTTTTTTAATTTCGAGAGACTCATCCGGAAGGCAGCTGCATCTATCGGTATTTGATTATGTTCTCAGCAAATGAATGTGCTGCATTCACCAGGCCGCCTCTTGATTCAGTCGCTACGATAGTTGAAATAACGCGACACATATATAATTATATTCTTGTGCACTACACTTAAGGTTGGTGATAATACGTCGACAGCCCACGACCGGTTTCGCCTTTCTCGGGGCGAACCAGGTAGGAGCAGTCGCCGGTTTCGCTCAAACGTATGTTCTACTTCAAACCGAATTCCACCAAATTAGCGAATATACACTCATCTGCAATCTAATTTGATTAGTTCGAGAGACTCACACGGAACCCAGCTGAATCTCTCGTGTGTTGATGGTGATCTCAGGCAACTGAATGTGCTGCATTCACCAGGCCGGCTCACGGTGCAGTTACTGCGATATATGGAAGATCGCGTTAAATGTATTTCTATGCGTTGTGATGTCCTAAACTTATGGTTGGTGAACATTCATCGACAGCCGAGGACCGGTTTCGCGTTTCCCGGGGCTCATCAGGTTGGCGCAATCCCCGGGATTCCGTCAACCGCAAGTTCTACATCAAACTGAATTGCACCAAATTAGCGAACATACACACATCTGCATTCTAATTTTGGTCTTTCGAGAGCAGTCGGATTATGGGGCCGAACCTTCGATATCCAATAAAGATGTCACAGATCAGAGACGCAAAGCGAATTCCATGTGCCCAATCTGTAGCAAGGAATTCAAGCTAACTTCGGATTTGAAGCGGCACATGTGGACACACACTTTCGCTCGTCCATTTCGGTGTAACAAATGCAACTCGCAATTTACGAGGCACTCGCGTCTTCGTCATCATATCCAGCGTGTTCACGCCTTGGAAGATGTCACCACAATTTCGGTCGAAGTTGATGGAATATCCCTTCAGATCAGCCGGGTTTGCGCAAATGGTTACATCTGTCATACTTGTGGTGAAAAATGCTCATCCATAACCGAGTTGCGCTCACACCTGCAGCTGCACGTTGCAAAACGACAATTTTATTGTCACCGGTGCAATGTTAGTTGTGCCACACCTGCAGAAAGACAGACGCACCAACTCCATTGTAACGTGCTTTCTCAGTCGCATTCGGAAACGTCCGTTGATCTCGTGGATGACTTGACACCTTATGATGGCGCTTCGACACGTCAGTGTATTGATTCCAATCAAGCGAATAACTTCATGGTACCCAGTGCTCACATTTCGAATGCTTCGGAGTCCACCCAGGTTCAGATTGGGTGCTCCAGTGGGGAACCCGGGACAAGTGGAACGCATGACTCCCATTTTTTCTCAACTGAGCTCCTTGCTGCTTGTACCCAGAGCATTACGCCAGCCGTAGTTCACAACGGCCCAAAATCTTCCCAAATTGATCCGACACATTCTCAGAATTCGGACGATACCGTCCAAAACGTCGTAGAATTTGCTCCAGATGCACCGGAGAGTAATACAATCAGCGACAACAACCTGCAGCCTTATGATATGTTCAAACAACCGGTATGTACCGATGACGTATCCTACAAGTGCCCTCCAACCTTCCACACAGTACCGGTTATCCAAAGGGGCCGGTGTAGAAAGCGCCGTAAGAAGTCAACAACGAGTAGCTCCTTACAGCGTCTGTTCCGATGTTCTACATGCCACATGGAGTTCAGTCGACGTCCCTCTCTTACCCGACATGAACGTATCCACACGAACTATCGTCCATATGTTTGTGCTGAGTGTAAAGCTTGTTTCACTCAATCGTACGCGCTTACAAGGCACCTCATAGTTCATACTTCTGAACGACCTTTTAAATGTAACCGTTGTCAGGTATCTTTCAGAGCACGAATTAGTATGCGGAGACATCTTGAAAAAGTACACGCTTGAGCTGCCCACGCTACCAATTCATCTCATGCAACGTGCCAAATAAACTGTATTACCCTCCTGTATCTATCATATGTTCTGGCTTTCTCAACTCGTGTGGGTTGCACTGTTTACATACTTTTACCTCAGTCGGGAGCCTTGCATGAGGGTATGAAGTACTATGTGCTACATCAAGTCACTTGTCAACCCAGTCACGCTGAGGTTTGCCACTACACATGGAGAATGATGATGGAACTGAACACAAGAAGAAGTCACGGGTTTAATCTGATAGCAGCTTACAGCAGAAACACCGTTGATGACGGTTCTGTGTTATTTCTGGTGCGTGTTTGTCCAGCATCACTTACCAACTAGAATGAGAATAACTTCTGTGATGAAACATTCCGATTCACTCTGTGCAACATCCACCCGCTTTGACGCTGCAGCTTATCACCGACTTTGCTAGCAGTTTCCGTGTTGATGCTTCGCCGCCAAAGCTGATTTGATATTTCTGCTGACATCATAGAACGATCACCCACACAAAGCTCTTACACAATATGGGCAGTATTCTCCCCGCAAAATAGATTTTTCTGGGGGCTTATCTTTGCACATCCAAGGCCACAAGATCGATCCCAATTCACTTCTTCAGTGGCTGTCCCCCGACCTTGTCAACTGTGACACTAGTTGCTAACTGATGGACCGTGAGAGCAACTTCATCGTCCTTTTGCACAATCAACTTATACTTTCACGGACTCTAAACAACACTGTAAACCGAACAGCAGAAAGAGGGTACCCAGGTGGCTCAGTAGTTAAGGCGCGAACCTACTGGCCTGAAAATCTGTGATTCGAACCCGACCTCCGCATCTCGACTTCTCTCTAGGCTTGGGCAACATGGCAATATCTGGACCCTTATGCTTCCTTTGGATGGCGTAACAACTAAGCACTGAAGGATGTTGCGGTTAAAAGTTGTTTTTTCTGCTTTGTCATATTTCACGTGGAAGAAAGAAAGTTGGTTTGAGTGAACTCTGTTTCAATTTCGCGATTTCAAGTGCGGGACCGGTGAAATATAACGCACCGCGTTAAGATACGATAGCATAGTAGCAGTTTGGCTTAGAGGTCATCCATTCACCGTGATTCACTAGAAGTTTCACCCCTCCACGCTTGTCTGTTCACGCGACCTACCTCCCAGAAGCTGCTCACCATACAGCTGTAGAACCGGCTAGGTAAGTTTGATTGATCGCACCAGAGATAACAGGTCTAACTAAAATGGGCATTCGCGATCACTGCTGTTGTCACAAAGCTGTAACTATCAGGTATCGTATGCCTTACGGTGTTTGCTACTAGATCCACGGATACCTATTATGGAGTACTGTCTGGCTCCTATCGGTTTGGATTTTTATGACCATTCCATCGCCACCTAACGTTCCGTACACCCTTTGCGGTGCCAGGATTCATAGTTTCCATCAGCCCTATATGGTATTATGAATAATAGTGTTAGTGAAAATACGAGACCCCATGCGAATGGGATTATGAATTAACGTGAGAGAAAAAAATTGGTCGGTATCGGGAGGATAGTCCATACAATCAAATGTGAAACCGAGTACTCCCGATTCTCCGGCGCTTTGTTCTTCGGTGGTTTTGTTTGAATGCCGGTCTACGTTATTTCGACCAATGATGGACTTGCTGAAACAGACGCACGATTTCGGGTTTGACGGAGGAGGAGACAGTCGCATTCCAACTGGTTGATAGCGTTCAGCTGTAGCACCCTTCTGGTGCCTAGCTGCCATGCCACCCGAAGGGAGCACGAGGGCTGGGATACTGTCAGGTTGCCCAAGCCTAGACAGGAGAAATCGAGAGGCGGAGGTCAGGTTCGAACCACGGACCTTCCGGTCAGTAAATTCACGTTGTAACCACTTAGGCCATCTCGCCCCTTAATGTAACAGTCGATGTTTCCCTCCACCGGAATTTTGCTACTACTTCGAAGAAAATCTGTCAAGAGCGTGTCTAGCGCACTGTCTTCGTTATTACAATGAGTCATCCACCCTGATGGGGACGCTGATGATTTCTGTGCACATGGTTCAAAATTTAACGGATGTTAAACATAGAACATGTAATCGTCTTCGAAAAGGCTGTGACATAGATTCTTTATTTGTTGCGGCCCGGGAGGCAGGCGTGCAATACACTTGGTCTGGTTACTAAAGTACAAGATGCACTATCATGTGGTCCTCATGCAACAACTTTTCTTGCTAGATATCCATCCGCGAAGACCTCTTAGCCCATCCAATGAGGAAATATTGTGTCAGAAAATTTTGGAATGTGCAAGTTGAGTCCGTTATATATGTATATATGTAACCGGTGCGTAGCTACCATGCACCCGATGGAGGCACCAGGGCTAGGATACCGCCAGGTTACCCAAGCCTAGACAAGGGAAATCGAGGAACAGAGGTCGAGTTCAAACCACGGTCCTTCTGTTAGTAAATTCGCGCTCCAACTGCTGAGCTATCTCGCTCCTAAACTTTTTTTAGCCTGTAAATCCCGATCTACCACTTTCCCTATCGGCACCCGGCGGCAGACGAATGTTTTACGAATCTGTTAGTTCACAAGACTCCTCGATCACAAGTACTCGATAGTCGAATTAATTTGGCTGTTGTGTTTGTCTTGATGGAAACTGTACTCTTTGGTCAAGCCGATCTAGAGTAGTTTAAACTTAAACTTACCATAAGGATGGTATAGCATGACTAATTTCATACTTTATGCACTTGGTTGGCTTACTTGACCATAGTATTAGGTGTCGTTTCGGAACCATGAACACAGATGACCTTTGTCGTTTATGTCACCTTGCGAATTCTAACTTTTCCATTTTCCGAGATAAGGTGTACTTTTTAGTCGCATCATTAAAAAGATACTTCGGGCTTTGATTCGTACCCCAGGATTGACAAAACATCTAGTCCCGTGGTCTGTGATCACCAGTATACTTGAACGGAGGACCGTACGCAGAGTTCAAGTGGCCGACCTAATTAACTCGTTGGTTCCCTGGTCTGGTGCCTTAACTGGTAGAAATGTCGAATACTGTTACAGTAGTCATGAGTTCGTTTCTTGTGAATAAGCCCTGTTGATCTCTCTTGAATTGGGACTGCATCCACAAAGTCGCATCAACGACAGATTTTCTAACAGAACTACTGTGCCCCTTGCTGCTATCGTTTTTCTAAATGACATTTACAGTATGCGAGTGTTTTCCCAAATGATGCGGTAGTAATAAGTACTGTCCGTTCAATTACTTAGGGTCAAGTTACTGGAAGCGAATTATCGGTACGTGAGTGGGCTATGAATGTTACACCATGGTTTTGCAAGACTGCCTCCTTCTAAGCGCTCGGTGGAAATTGATCAGAACAGGATTGGATCGTAGTATTATAATCTACCGAAAAGAAACACACCGGTGGACCAAGACTTAACCGGTTTTCTTAACAGTACCAGTGAATAGCATAAAAAGGCATGTTAATGTCAAACGTTGGCACCGAGATAAACAGCAGGCCGGTAGGTTTAGAGTCACTAGCTTCAAATTAGACTTCCACGGTTCACTTAAAGACGTGTGACCAGTTACTCGTTTATCTTCGTCGTCACTCGTCGCTTTGTGATAGGATGGCCAAATACGTACATCCCAGGCACGGTGTGCCTTGACAGTCTACACAGCTGCCTTCATTTCGACACTAGTGGGTGCGTGAATGTGCATCGAACAATCCTGTAGTTTTCGTACTGCTGGTCTGTGCAGCTCTGGTAATCGGTTCTTAGTCGAACGGTGTCCAGTCACTCATTTATGTGGCTTGTCCTTCTGTAGTCCCCCTTGCAACAACCGGCTGGTGGACAACTAGAAATTTCGTGTGGTTTTAGCTACGTAAAGCTATGATGGGTTGGTTCAAAATGAAGTAAATTATCAATGTTTTCCTTCAAGAATATCCTATCTCTTACAAGATGTGAGATGTTTAAGAAATTATCAAAAGACATTTCGACTAATAATGCGACTTTCTCGCAGAATCGCTCTTGGGAAGAAAACAGCCTGCACATCAGAGTTCTTGGGTTTGCCAAACCATACTAGAATTCCGCTTGTTGAGAAACCGTACAGGTAAAAAGATTCCTTCCTGGGTATTATAAATCTTGCGCTTTAATCAGGATAAACAAGTATAAAAACCTACCCCAAGAATTCCTCATTATGTAGCTTCCGTGGCTGTCATGGGCATTGCAGGAGCTTGCCGATTGTATCAATAATGCTTGCTGCACTTTCGTCGAAGTAACTGTACGTGAAATGCGACTGAGAACGAAGAGATTTGACATTTGCCCCATATCGCTGGCACATGACCCTTGGATGAAAAAGTACACGCAAACTGGGGATATCAAACCACGTGAAGTGGAAATGCAAACCAGCCTAACCGGACGAAAAAAGACGGTAAACACGTTCCGGCTTACCATTCCAGTCTATTTTTGCGCGCACGCATTCTTCCACACTAACCTTAGCCTGAAAAATCGAGTGGCTACACCAACCATGGGGCGTAACCATACTCTATCTGGCGTGGCGAAGTCTAGATGGGCCTTCAGCGAGGATTTCAAGCAAGTTACAAGGCAGGAAAGTTTTCCCAATCTTGCCCAAAGCTTCAACAAATTTCTAGGTGCATACCATCATTTTAGCTGCTTGTGATTCTTTTTGGTGAATAGTGTGTGCTGTTTCTCGGGACGGTTCGTCGCTGTCCCGACGCCTTCCACCATGGTCGTTCTTTATCTTATGGAGCATTGAATCATCTGACTTCGATGTATCAATTTTGTCAGATCACGGGGACAGTGAGAGAGG